TGGAGCTGACTTTGGGAAGATCACCGTACAGGCTGTGGTTGCTGACATGGTCTCGATATTGGTTGATGTTAAGGGCCATTCTTAACATTCGCGTATAGCAACCATCAACCATCTTCTCTAGCCTTTTCGTCATTGTCCAAGTCTCGGAACCGTACAGTAGCACCGACTCCACTAGTGCTGTAAACACTCTGATCTTGATAGACTTTCTAAGCTTAGAATTCCAAAGCTTTTTGAGTGTGTGGCATGCTCCCCATGCTCTTCCTTTCCTAACCCTGATATCACTCTCACTGTCTCTGATTCTAGAACCCAGATAAGTGAAGTCTTCCACATGCTCTATTGTACTGTTACCCAGGGACTTGATGGTATCAGGGTTCTCGATGTTCTGAGTAATGAATTTGGTTTTCCATTCATTCATTCTAAGTCCCACTGTAGCAGCAACCCTTTCTACCTCTAGCATCAGCGTCTCTGCCTCCTTTACAGTATCTGCTATCAGAGCAATGTCATCTGCAAAACCAGTGTCTGATATCTTCTCCGCCTTAACTCTCCTACTCCTATAAGGCTTAATGGTAAATCCTATTTCAGGGTGCTTGCTTAAGGCTTGTCTCATGCAATAGTCAAGGGCTACAAGTTTGGCACATAGAAATTCGCCCAAACTTGCACGGATTATTTGTCTAATTATAGCCATGTAACTATCTGGAAAGTTTAAAGAAAATCTATTAGTTAGATTTCGAAATATATGCCTTTGTTCCGTTAGAAACCGCCAATTTGGAGATATTTTCTTGTGTTTGAAGTCATATCTCAAGTATGGCACATAGAAATTCTCCCAAACTCGTACACATTGTCCGGAGTGTTACCATGTAACGATCTAAAAAGTTTAAAGAAAATCTATTGGTCAGATCTTGAGAAAATCGAAATTATATTCTAAGTTATTCACTAAAACACTATATTTTCGACCGATTCATATTATGGTACAGTTTTGTCGAAAGTCCTTCTGCTGAAAACCACAAATATTGACTTATCCGCGGGCGCGGAACGTTTTGAGTGAACTTTGCTAGTAGGCAGACCATGTGGTTCGCCGGTGCTAAATTATCACAGATAACTAACGCGCATTTAGGAGACGCGCAAAAGTTGAAATTGTTATTACGGTTTGGGCGAACGATTTAGAAAGAGCCGATGCTGTGCGCGCGCGTTGTCGGCCGAAACTTGGGAAGTTCCCGCTCTAATATTCAGACGACAGTGATGACTCATTAAGAGCACTAATTTCGACCACTTTCCCGGTCGAACCATACCAAATCAAACTAATTGACCCACGTGTATAGCCAATGTCCTGGCGGTGCTGAGCCGATGTAAAACTCTTCTGTAAACTCTTTTGTCTCTTGTAACTTGTTTATATTTTATATTTTAGTTATACTGTGTACTGTGTACAATAGTTATAGTGTGTAGTGTGTAGTGGTTATTTTGTTGTAACGTGTCACTTTATTATTTGCTACCAACGTCAGCCTTGACTTACCATTTATTGTAATTGGTACAGCATATATCAAAATTAAAACACTGTTTTCGATCTGACGGGTGATGGGCTCTCTCTGATGGGACATATAGTTCTAGGGGGTACCCGGGGTACGAGTTAACGAATAGTGTTTGTACGTCCTTCCACAATCCCCTCTCATTGTGTTTTTGACGGAGGAGGAGCCTAGTTCATCCGTCTGCATCGCTTAATCGAGTTAAAAATTTAGCCAATAACAAACTAAATTACATGTTATACTGATATCAGATGTAGAGTTTATAACATACAAATTCTAAATTTTTGACGGCTGACGATGGTAAGTCGCTACGTTTAACTCGGGACTTTTATAGTCTTAAGTCTTGGAGCTCAAAATGTCTCGTGCTGTGGGCCGTATAAACGGCGCACACCACCGCCCCGCCTTACTGCTTACATTACTTCATGGTTGCAGGTTGACCATTGTTAATGATCTGACCCGGCGCGCGCTACTTCGTAGCTCTTGCCATCGGGCCAACATTTCGAGAAGAAAGCGGCGCGCGCTACTTCGAAGAAATTTAGACGAGTAACATCCGTCAAGGTTGCAGGGCGGAGCCGGTGCCGTTTGTCTCGGCCTCGAGTGGCGAGTGCTTGCCCATCGAATACACGATTGAAACACTAATTATTTACTGGCATTCTACAGTTTCCAAAACGAAGTACGAAGGTATATTAACTTTGAGCTTTGTTTTGGCGACTGCTTCATCGATGGGCGAGTAGGTATTTGTTGTTTAGCAGTGTTGAATATTGGAGCAATTATATAATGTATATCTCCATCATAATATAGGCTAGTGTAAACATATATAATCAATAATACAAACAAATAGTATTATATTATTGGTAACTCGCTAGATTATAAATGTTATTTAAACACATATGTTTACGTCAATCATTACTAAAATTAATATTCTTTTTGCTTTAATATAATTACATGTCACATAATTGATTAGTTGAATGAAACGTGTGCTACAATGTCTACGCCTCACGCAGAACTGCGTACCGCTTAGTACTTCATGCTTGAGCGGTACTGCTGTTCACAGAGGCGCGCATATAATAGCACTCAATTTAATCACAAATAACGAGCGCGCGGTTTTTGGAATTTCTCCACTAATATTTTGCGATCTATTAATTAGATCGCAGTGCTCACGGCCTGTACTGCGGGAACGACAGAAATATGTTTTAAATTATTTTGCTTCTGAAATTTTGGCTCTAGTAATTAAGAAATGCGACATGTAATTGTAAGATAACAATTAAATAGATCCTGTGCGCGGCGCCTACAGCTGACCTACGAATTTCTGAACAATTGAAAATTGTGGCTGTGTGCGCGGCGTACTGTATATGTGTTTGAAATTGAAATTTGAATTTATTTATGAATATAACATTATGTATTGATTGTTTTGTGGTAAATAAAAAATTTTTCTTTCCTAAAAAAAAAAATTTTCTTTCCTAAAAATCTGAAAACTTACAAATCATCAAATCATGACTTATCTAGAAATGAAAATAACCAAATAAAATATTAAATTTAACGTAACCATTGTTAATGGTTTGGCCCGAGGCGCGCTACTTCGTAGCACTTTGAACCTGCCATAGAAGAGAAAGCGGCGCGCGCTACTTCGAATTAGAAAGTTAGACAAGTAACATCCGTCAAATATTAAGTATAATTGTGGAACACAACAAGAAAATTGAAAATAATCTTGTGCAAGGGTAGGGACCCAGATGTCGTTTCTAACCCAAATAAACTTTAAGGAGGCTTCTCATCAGTAGCCGCACCTCCTTACTCGGTTTCTGAACTGGAATTCTATGGGCTTCCAGACGGCCAGACCGAGTATTACCACCCCATCCTTCTAGAGTTCATCACAAGTAGCACCCACCTTGAAGATCTTTGACACCCAGACACACCCCATTGGCGAACAAACTTTGGATATAATCTAGTACATGCTCCCGAAGGAATCCCTGGTTTATGGTCTTTCTCATCGTCACCAGAACTTTCACTAGAGTCACCAGCCCTTTCACTGGAGTCATCAGCATTAAGTATAATGTTTAAATAGCAGACCTAAATATAAATGTAGAGCCAATCAATTGAATTGGCTACTACTTAAAGGGTTTTTATAAATTTTGATATTGGACAGATCGTCACACACCATACAACCATCGGAGATCTAGCAAGGTTCCTTATGAAAGCGCATGAACGAAGATTCCCTAAAGTAAAAAAATAATAATAAAACAATAAATCTCATTCAGAAGATTTACGGGGATCATTTATTTGTAGAGGCTTTTATTTGTAGAGGCTTTATTATAATTATGGTGGTTGCAATTTTATTCTCATTCTCCTGTACATATATATAATATATTATATAATTTTTGACTTTTGGGTAAATTTACTTTTTATATTGGGTCAGACATTACAATTGTAATTTGACTTTTGAATCGTTTAATCCGTTTAATTAATCCGTTTAATACTAAATGATATCACAGTTCAATGGTGTGATAAAAATTTGTTTATTTCGTGTGATAAAAATGAGTAAGATTCGTGTAGTCAGTGTAGCCTACGTTGCAATTATCGAGCTCTCTTATCTTTTGTAATTTGCGATAAGTTCAGTTTGCTAGGGGGGGGGGGGGGGGGGGGGGGGGGGGGGTGAAGCCCCCTGGAAAATTTTCGAATTTTATCTTCCTAGACCTAAACGTATTTTAATATCTCTCAAAACAGTTTCAATTGAGTAGAAGTCAGAAGAAAGTAATCAAACAAATTAACTGATTAGACATAAGAATTAGTATAAAATAATGTAATTTATACAAAATTTGACAATTTTGGTGTACAAATTTGTAAATCGTTCGGGTGGGTGCAAGTCCAAACTGAGTGGGTGCAACATCCTTTGGGTAGGTGCGCACCCACTCCCACCTACACGGTGGAGCCATGCCATGCCTGCAGTGCATACTGTAAACATATTACTATTAACTATTACTATTAACTATTGACTATTAAAATAAATAAATAAATAAATAAATAAAGTCAATTTTTACAGCACAGCAATATATATCTAAATATCAGATCCTCTGTAATCATAATGTATAAAAAAAGGAGCTTTTCTCTGTGCTGAAGGATGAATCAAGGCAGATCATGGTTCTGTTAGCAGGCCACCCTAGTTATGGACAATACATATATATAAAATAATTAAATTATAATTTTAAAATTGTGTCAAGATTGAACTAAAACATAACTCAGGGTAAAATAGACGTATTCCCTTCGTCAAATTAACTATTTACAATACTAAACTTAAACGAACTACGGGTAAAATAAACGTAATCCCTTTGTCAAACTTGCTATTTACAATAAGTTAATAAATTAATACGGTTGAAAATTATTTCATATTCAATAACAATGTAGCATCAATATAATTGATACAAATGAGGAGCATACATAGCAGTGAGAATTGCACATAACAGGAGTGATATAACAAGGAACAGTCTATTTGGAACTAGCCATAAGAGGCTAGGGAAGTTCATTGATTAGTAAATATGATTAGTAAATATAACAATATGAATTATAGTAATAATACAATATATAACAATTCCCCTCGCTAGGTTAACCGAACAGTTCTGATCTCGCCTGGTCTGCGGCGCGCGCGCGCGACCAAAAGTCAATCGCTAAATGTTTAGCGCTATTGCTTTTGTTCGGTCAAGAACTGTTTGGCGTCCGCGCGTTACATACATATTCTTTCCAGTCCAATACCGGCCCTCACTTGGCGCTCGGTTGACTGTCACTATTACTCTCCACATTTCAAATATTGAAAACTCACATTATCAAACGGTTCACAATAAACATTAAAGTAAAAAAAACTGTAAAATTATTTCTCTGTCTTATTATAACATCTATAAAACGGTAACGATAAAAATAATGTCTTAATATAACATCTGTCCGAAAAATTATTTACAATTACAAGGCCAAAATATTACATATTTTAGCTCAAATACCCTTACGTCATCTCTTTCATCTTTATCAGTGCATTAGTCTTAGCCCTTCTACTCGGCCTTTCATCTGGTCTGGCTACAGACGGACGGACTACAGACGGACTGTTAGACGCTACGCTAGAGCTACTAATCACGGACGAACCAGACACTAACTCACTATTTACAATCGGACTCGACTGGGACTCACGGACTAACCTACCTGGTTGCTCCACAGGTGAAGCTGATCGAGCTGACTGCTGAGGAATAACATTTGTTGTCATGTGGTCGGAAACAGGTATATGTGACTCCGCTCTCTGTCGTCTACGTTCCAGGACCTCGTTTAGTTTTTGACCCTTCATCATTAAATATCGGTCCCCGTCCTCTGTCAACCGTCGTCTTTGACTCTCGGGTACATCATCTCTCTTCATACTAATTACCGGTGAGTATCTAGGTTTTAGCACATCTGCGTGTTTCTTAACCACTCTGCCTTCGTGCTGGATTGCGTAGTTGTTTGAGTTATCACCGTATCTCTTGATCACTCGAGCTTGTACCCACGGTCCTCGATTGTCCATTCGTACAAAAACTTGTTGGTTCTCCATAAATTCTCGTGTCTTTTTTTGCTCATCTACGACTTTTTGCAGTTTCTCTGTCTGTAAAGCTTGAACCTTCATGTGGTCGGCTGGTTTTATCTGGTGTAGACTAAACCTCAGCGATCTGTTCCAAGCTAAAACTGCTGGTGTTTGTCCAGTAGACGAATGCGGGGTGTTTCTATATGTTAACAGGAAATCATATAGATTTTTACTCACGTCTTTACTCGACTCATTCATTTTCTTTAAAGCTCCTTTAAAGGTTTGCACCAAGCGTTCACAAATTCCGTTTGACTTTGGGCTATAGGTCGGAACTGTGACGTGTTTCACTCCGTTGGAGCGCAGGTAACTCTCGATTTCCTCAGACACAAACTGGGGTCCATTGTCGGATACTAGTGTCATAGGAATACCTGTTCGTGCAAATATCGATCTTAATGCACGAATTGTTGCTCTAGATGTTGTATTAGCATTCATCTGAATTACTTCAGGCCATTTACTATAAGCATCTACCAGTAAGAGCCACATACTGCCTAAGAAAGGCCCAGCAAAGTCTACATGGACCCGTTGGAATGGTGCTGTTGCTCTAGCCCACGGATGATCTACCAGTTTGGGTAGGTTCTTACCGTACTTGCCACACGTCTCACACGTCCGAGCAGTATCCTCGATTTGTGTGTCAAGACGAGGCCAGTATACATAAGAACGAGCTAAGCTCTTCATACCTGACATACCAATGTGGGTCGAATGTAATATACGTATCACAGTATCTCTCAACTTTACAGGGATGACCACTCGAGCTCCCCAGGTCACACAGCCTAGTTCCACTGTCAGCTCGTCTCTCCTGCTCCAAAAAGATGCTAGTTCTCCCTCACATTTCAGGTAATCTGGCCATCCTTCCAGAATATAACACAAAACCTTGCTCAGTATCGGATCTTTCTTCGTTTCTCGAGCCACCAACTCGGCGTTGAGCATGGCTTCACTCACTGTCAGAGAAAACATATCCAAACAGTCATCTTTAACCACAGTTGGGTGTCTCACCTCCTTTGGTAGTCTCGACAGCATATCACAATTTGCGTGATCTTTTGTGGTGCGATACTCGATGTCGTATTGGTAGTTCATCAGGAACAAGGCCCACCTTGTTATCCGGTTAGCTGTCATCTCAGGAATTGGTTTGTCTCCAAAGATTCGAACTAAAGCTTTGTGATCCGTGACCAGTTTAAATCTCCTTCCATAGAGATAGATATGCAGTCTCTTTATTGACCATACTATTGCCAAAGCTTCTTTGTCCATTTGTGCATAGTTCCTTTCTGCAGACGATAAGGTTCGTGACACATACTCGATCGGGCGTTCTTCTCCATTAGGCATTATGTGAGATAATACTGCTCCTATTCCAGATTTAGACGCATCCGTATCGAGTTTCAGAGGTAGCTTAGGGTTGTAGAATGTCAACACACGACGAGAACACAACAAGTTCTTCAAACTTTGGAACGCTTCATGCTCCTCATTGGACCACTTCCACGGCACTCCCTTTGCTCTTAACCTATCTAGGGGAGCAATAACAGATGACAGGTTCGGTAAATATCGTCGATAGTAGTTCACTGCACCCAGAAAACTGACCAGTTGGTCCACGTTTTTGGGTTCAGGAGCCAACTTTAAACTGTCTACTTTACTCTGTACCGGTTGTATCCCCTCTGCTGATACTCGGTGTCCCAAGTAAATCACTTCTTTCTCCATAAGGCAGGTTTTCTCGAGTTTGCACTTGAATCCACGTCTCTCCAAGCGAGAAATCACTCTGTTCAGGTTAATCAAGTGCTCTTCGTCATTTTTACCCGATATTAGGATATCATCTATTCTGCAACAAGTCATCGGCACACCGCGTAGGGTATCATCCATTATTGACTGAAAGATTGCTGCAGAACTACTGATACCATAGGGTAATCTATTCCATTGGTACAGTCCTTTGTGTGTGTTAAGTGTCGTCAAGACTCGGTCCTCCTCTCTAATCTGGATGTTATTGTAAGCTTTCTTGATGTCCACTTTTGAAAACTTTAGGCCACCCCGAACTGTATTAAAGCACTCTTCCGCTGTGGGCAAAGGGTACTGTCGGGTGCTCACACACTTGTTCAACGTTGACTTGTAGTCTCCACATATTCGAACAGACTCACCTCCGTCTTTCTTTACTGGAACTAGAGGAGTCCCCCACGGGCTATCATCTACTTTGGACAGGATACCGCTTTCAACCATTGAGTTAAGTTCATCCTCAACTTTGTGTCTCAAGGCATACGGCAGGTTTCTAGCCTTCAACATTATAGGCTTGGAGTTGTCTCGCAGGACCAAACTCGCCTCCACATCCTTCACTAGTCCAAGTCCCGATTTGAACACATCACTCAGTTTGAGCTCCTCCAAACTTCTGCACTGATCCACTCTGGTACAGTCATCATTCAGTTTTAAATCATTCTTCACGTTGGTCCCATCAGTTTGCATCATTGGTCCCCCTCTACCGTCGCTACCTGCACATTTCTCACAGTTGTTCACCTGCTGAGAATCTTCAGAACGCTGGGTTGTCTCAATTGCCAAACGGTTGACCAACCTGGTACTTAGCAGCTTGTCTAGCCAGTTCTCACCACAGAACTTTGTTATCCAGGGTCTCCCTAACAAAGTTGGGAAATCCTCGGCTACATACAAGTGCAAGTCCGGAACTTTTTTACCATTCATTGTCACATCCACCACTGCATAGCCATCCACGATCACCTGCTGTCCACTAGCCACTCTCAGTGTTTTCCTGCTGGGTTGTAATGTTAAACTTGACAAACCACAGGACACTAAGACACGTTTACTGACAACAGATAGTAGATACCGCCGAACCAGAATCAAATTCCATATTTAAGATTTTACCGTTAATCAATACATCAACTGTCGGTTTACCTTCCAACTGGTTTACATCATAAATCAATTTATCGGAATTAGAATTAGATTCAGCACTATTCAATTTAAACTTGGAATCAGCAATATTTTCATGCAACCGAGAAATCGTACAAATCCCCAAAGAATTTACAATTATGGAACAATTATCATGCAACTGTGATCGCTCATTAACTTCTATGAAGTTACACTGAAGCCCATAAAACTCCTCGTCGAGAATGCTGTTGCAGTTGTCGTCAAACTCTTGTAGTTCTGCATCGCTGTCTACATTGTTGACATCTCGCTTGTTCCAATTATTCCTACACTTGCTACTGATGTGCCCAAGTCCCGAACATTTGTAACATCTCACCTCACATTTATCAGCCTCATGACCCCTTAAACCACACTTCTTACACTTGGTTTTTGATTTGTTGTTTGAGTCCCGATTTTCCGGCTGATATTGTTTTTTGTCCATTTGAGATGACTCCCCCTTCTTCAGATAAGGGTTATTTACTGTTCTCTTGAATGTTGGATGTTTACTATACTTAACACTGTTCACTGTGGCAGACATACTACCATGCATTCCTTGAGCCTCTTTCTGAGCTTGCTCTCTGTTGAGCGCTTCTCTTATGGCTGTTTCCAGATCCAAATCTGTTTTGACCAACAGTTCCGATACCAGTTTCTCGTCCTTCAGACCGCACAGAATCTGATCTAGCAAAGCTTCGTTATAGTTTGTGCCAAATTCACACTCATTTGCCAGTGACCTTAATCTTGATATAAAGCTGGCTCCAGACTCATCTGACTGCTGACGTCCACTCCTAAATTTGTGCCTTTGAGCGAATTTAGTAGGTGCCGGTGCCAGGTGGTCCAATAACAACTTCCTCAGTCTAGGATGGTTCGAGTCAGCTACATTCTCCGGCGCACACAAAGCTTTTAAAAGCTTGAATATTTCAGCATCACATTTAGATATGAACACCGCTACATTCTTTTTTATGATCAAGGTTCGCTCTGCTGCGTTACTGCTGTCTTCTGCTAGGTCCGGCACTGTCCCCATCCAAGAATTGGCCAGGGCGTGAAAATCAAACCTTTCTAACCAACTTTTCACGTCCGCCATTAGTGACAGGTTCTCCAACTTGTTTGCCATCTCGTCGCCAGTTGATATAACAAGGAACAGTCTATTTGGAACTAGCCATAAGAGGCTAGGGAAGTTCATTGATTAGTAAATATGATTAGTAAATATAACAATATGAATTATAGTAATAATACAATATATAACAAGGAGGACTGGAGGTATGGAGCAATAATGATTGACAGTGCACCTTTCCACTGATGTTCCTAATTTCCTGTAATAGCTTAATAGGCATGGAAATACTTTGATTGCAGGGGATAGATTGGATTCACTTATGTACTGAGATAACTTAACCGAAATAACATAACTGCCTAGATACATTGGCTAGTGTTGGGTGGGATCATGAATTTATCGTAAGAGTTATCCCCTTGGTAATTCTCATCAGTTAGCACCATATTCATAAGAGTTTCTTTGTATAACTTAGAAAATTTCTTAACGTCGTCACACTCTCTAAGGGACGTTGGTAATATGTTCCAGGCCTTAGTTCCTAGATAGTTAAACTCCTTGTGAGATCTTGATTTAGGAGTATAAAGATTGCAGTTTTCTGCCTCACGTGATCCACCAGAAATATACGAGAATTTCCCGATAAAATGCTTTGGACATGTTTCATTGATTATACGGTACATATATGAGCTAAGATGAACCTGTCGTCTCAAATGGAGAGGAAGCCATCCCATATTTTTGTATACATTAACCGACCTCTCTCTGATGTTTACATCTAGGGCTATTTTAGCAACCTTTTTGTACATGATATCTAACTCTCCTAGTCGTTTTTTATATGTTCTTGACCAGATGGTGTCTAAGTAGTCAAAATGTGGCAACATAAGTGCATTAGCAAACATCTTCCTGAACTTAAGAGGGAGAAGTTTTTTTGATCTATACATAGCACCAATTCTTTTGGATATCTTTTTCTTAATGTTATCAATATGTTCATTAAATGTCAATCTGCTGTCAACTATAAGTCCAAGGTACTTATGGGATTTAGTTTCACAGATTACCAAAGTAAGGTCATCACAAATTTCAACAAGGATGGCATCAAGGTTAGGCTTAGAGTCAAGGATCATTAGTTTTGTTTTTTCATTATTCAGGGATAGTTTATTAGCCTGAAGCCATCTGATAACTAATTTCAACTCTTGTTTGATGTTACCATAGTTTCCTCTAGATATATTGTCAAAATATAATGCACCGTCATCAGCAAATAGATAAGGTTTAGAAAATAGGCATGCATTAGGCAGGTCATTGATAAAAATGCTGAATAGAATTGGTCCTAATATACTTCCTTGAGGCACTCCAGAGTTCAATGAATGTAAACTGCTTATCCTACTCCCAACTCTAGTTTTCTGTAATCTATCTGTGAGGAAGCTCCTAAACCAGCTCAATGCAGTATCTTTTATTCCATAATGCTTCAGCTTTTGAATGAGAATATCATGGTTAACAGTATCAAATGCCTTTCTGATGTCCAGGAAGATAATTGCAGGATGCTTGGCACTGTTCTTAGCAGTAAATATACGATCAAACAGATCTAACATGAGATAAGTTGTAGAGTGATCTTTACGGAAACCATATCGATGCTCTGAAAGTATTCCCTTTTCATCAAGATATTGAGTCAGTTGGGAGTTCACACAAAATTCGATGCACTTTCCAAGAATCGGTAAAATTGAGATTGGTCGATAATTACTAGGATTCTCAGTATCACCATCCTTATGGATTGGGGTGACTTTTGCAACCTTGCAGCTGTTTGGCATGATGCCACTGGATAAACTCAAATTTACAAGATGTGTTAATGGAGCAATAAATGCAGGTAAAATTTGTCTAAACACTCTCAATGGTATATGATCATTAGTGGATTTGCTACAAGGGATACTTGCCACATAGTCTAAGATATTGGACTCAGTTATTTCAGTAAAGCTATTCAAGCTGGTCTCGTTGTCAATCTGCTCATTTTGTAGATAAGATAGAAATTCATTTTCATTTTCCAGCTGCACTTCTGCTTGGATCTTTGGACCTATTTCAGCAAAATATTTATTGGTGGTTTCAGCATCAAGATTGTTATTGATATTGTTAGCTTTAACAGGCAGATTTGATGCTGTCTTTATCGTTTTCCATACACCCTTTAGATCATTCATGGCACACTTGGCTTTCAGTTCTGTTGCTAAGTTAGTCTTCCTATTAATTCTAGACAAATAGGTTGAATAGTTTCTCTGCCGTTTATATGCCATCCATAATGAGTCACATTTATTACAGTGTATAAGACCATTTGGATGTATACGTCTGTTCTTGTTGTGTGTTAAAAATTTACGGTAAAGTTTCCCTTTCAATTTCTTACTTTCTAAAAATTCTGGAGATGGCTTATGGATGTAATCACTATGGCACTTAATTTGTTTAATTGGACAGAAGTGATCATAGTAGTGATCAATATGTTCGTTTAAACCATCAACTGCATCATTCAGACTAGTTGAATCTATTATTGGTCTATAATCACAAGTTTCCAAAAATTCTTTAAGAGCAGTAACATTCATTTTGCTGTGATCTCTTATTAGTAACTTCTTGAATTTTGAGGCCTTATGCACATTGAAATCGACAATGAACTTTACGAACTGATGATCTCCTATACAATCATCAAGGACTTTGCAGTCAAGAAACTTGGAGTAAGTGTTTGCTATGACAACATCGATTGTGGTCTTTGTGATTCTGTTTCCTAGTTTAGCAATGCGGGTAATATCCTGAACTACCTGTACCATTCCAAACATTTTCATTGTAATGTCTAATTTCTTATAGTTCATACTGCTGATGTTGTTTTGGTCTACATTTACATCACCCAGCCAAATAACATTCTTACTTCCTATACTCATCATGCAGTCTGTCATATAATCTAAAAATTTGTCAAGAGGACTAAACAACTCAGATCTGTAGAAACAGCAGATGAAAATATTGCAATCTGTAAGATGGATCCAAATAGCCTCGATTTGGTCATATTGCAAAACTAAGTTTAGTTGAATCATTTTAAACTTTATGTGCTCACTGATGAGAATGCCACATCCCACATGACCATTGTCGTTAGGACGGTCTTTGCGGATAAAAGTAAAATTCTTGGGTAGGTTTAGACTGGCTGAGTCAATATCCGATTTAAGATTTGTTTCATTCAGGCATAAAACATCTAATTTCTCTTTCCAGATTAGATCTTGGATTTCAAGACATTTTGGCATACCTGTTAGTCCTCCCTGCATGTTGCAATGTCCCACTGCAAGCTTTTTGGCATGGTATGAAACTGTGATTTTACTAATGCACGGGTTAATGCAAGAACTGCTGTGAGAGCATGAAAATTTTTCCAATTTATGCTGCTATAAACTTGTCAGAATAAGATAAATTGCAGAACTGGCAAATTTGTATGAGATAATAACAAAACTTTCTAAAACTTCAATAAACATGAGGAACAATGTGTAATTATCCCTTATCTAGATGAAATAAATGTTAACAATCTTTCTGAAAATTCAAACTTGCTTATGGGCCCAATACTTCAGAAATTTAGCAAGTCGAATAACACCGCTTGTATTGAGGTGACAGTTATCAGATATTTTTGCAGATGGTCTGGCAAAATAAAATTCTTTCCTGAATCCACTTCTATTATAGCTTTATAGTTAAATAAATTATGGGTGCTAATGTAATTAAAACAAGAATCTTTGCTACACATATCCTTAATACCCTTATTCAGCTCTGCCACAACATCATTGCGGCCTTTTGTACTCCTGGGAAGAATATTGAGAACATTAATTGTTGCATTCGGATACACTGACTTGAGATAATTTAAGAGATTACTAATGTCACCCGCTGCATCCTTCAGTGACTTTGAGCCAAAATAGACTGTGTTCACATTATTAGTTCCTGTCATAATATAAATAATAGATGGGGATGGAACAGAGTGTAGGTCAGTTTTTAGTTTATTTAACATTACTTTGGCATCAGCCCCAGGATAAAACAGTTTACTAGCACTAACAGTGGACGATGATAACTTGTCCGCATCAAGAAACCTGAACATAGAGCTGCTTATGAATAGGACAGACTTTTGTGAAGCTTTAGCTGACTGTTTGCAAACTGAGAGTGCAGGTGAAGAAGAGTCTGTCAGTTTGTGTCCTGAGTGAGGGATGGGTGGGGGCGGTGAACGCAGACCAAACTCAGTTGACTGAGTGATCCTAGGGGGCTTCATCAGTCTTAGGGTGATGCTGATCCGGGGTTCATCACACATTTCGTCTGGCAGTATCTCATGTTGAAAGTCAGCCTGAGACAATTTGGACATGATGAAGACATCTCCATGCTGAAGCTGCACAGAGCCCACAACTTCATTGCTGCCGTTTGATCTAATTTGCAGTGTTCTCGTCGCACCAAGTGAAATGGTTACAATATCAGAGTGTTCTACAATACATGATTCAGAATCGCTATGAGCTGGCATGAACTCTGCTCCAGTTTCATATAGATTGACGAGAATACTATTGTGTCTGAAATTGGGTAATATCACATTAATGTAGGAGCTGAGTTTAGCAAGGTAGGAATCATTGTGTACACATTTTGGGTCATGTGTTGCACCTGAATACTCATAGGGAAAGTCACCAAAATAAACCGATTTCCGGTTTTTAAAACCGTGACTGAACTCAAGTTCTTCCATTAATAGATCAAGTGAAAAATTAGAGAATGGACCATCATCTAGTAGGGTAACTGGTTTCACTGGTGATGGGGAACAAGTTACAGATATATTCATTGGCCCCGGTGTTATAGGATCGTAGACAGGGGCAGGGACCAAGTTTGGATATTTGTCTCTGGGCTTAGGGGTGTTGATCCGTGATTCACCAGTAGCAGTAGATACAGGGAGATCAGACACATCATCCTCGTCTGCCATAACCTCGTTAACAACAATCTCACTGATAACAATCTCGTTTCCAACAACCTCCTGTGGAACAACCTTGTCCACGACATCGTTGTCAACAAACAAACTGTCCGATACAACATCTTCCACAACAATGTCATCTACATCAAACGCTTCTACTTGATTGATAACAACGTGTGACTGAGGGGTAATGGTTATGATCTCACATTCAATCTCCTCTGATAAGTTTGGCAGCAAATTTTCACACTTAAAACTCTGTTCTTGTATTTGAGTTTGATCTGATATGAGACTATCATTGTACTGAGCAATGAGATCACTAGTTCTGATAATTTCATTCAATAAAGACAACTTTTTTTCTAAAAAGTCAATCTTGATGTCTTTTGACAGACAATTGTTACAGTTCTCTGATTTTTCAGACTGGAATGAAAAGTTCAAATGTTCTAAAGGGCGCTCACAAGAGTGGAGACTAATGTCTGAGCTCTGATTATTTGACATAGTTATATTATCAAGAGTTCAATGTTCAGAAGCACAATAGACACTGTAAACACAATACCTTCAGTCTAGATAGTAGTTTTGATGAGAATAGTTTTGATGAGAAGGTGGAGGATGAGTAATCTTCAAGTACACTCACAGCAGTCCTTTGCACGTCAACACTTACGCTCGTCTATCATATCTCATACCTCAAATTATTTGTTATATAGTAGTGTTGAAAGTATTAAAACTCTATTTTATATATAAACTAATAAATTAGTTTCATTGATTTATTAGTTTCATTGAAATATCATCTACTCCATCATCGGGGCAGGGATGAGGTTGTAGGAGACTTCTGATAGAAGGGTCTCATGTTTGATGTCAATCTTCTTCCCTCTGTACCCACGACGAGCAATAAGAGATGTTCCTGGGGCACACTTGGGGCAAAAAATTAATTGGGGCACACTTGGGGCCCTAAGTGTGTTTAGTTTACTTAAACTGTGCTTAAAGTCTTTTTTTTGCCTCGACTGTGCCCCAAGTGTGCCCCAACTGTATTTGCCCCAGGAAATTCAATTTTGTGCCCCAGGTGTGCCCCAAGTGTGCCTAGCTAGATTACCAAATTGCCTAGATAGATTATCAAATTGCCTTTATTTTATTTGCCTTTACAATTGCCAGTGTATGGCGTATAACAAATGTATACGCCATACACTCTGTATGGCGTATAAATTAGTTAAAATAATTATTTGAATAATTGTGAAATGAAATTGAATTGTGATTACATTTTTATCTACCTTACTCGGGAATGTTATAGCGGGTTAATTTATGACTGGGAAAATTAATGACCGGGAAAAATATGGCGGACTTTCCCAAAACCCGCCAAATTATCCCGGTCATGTATTTACCGGTGGCCGACCTTTCAAGTTTTTTTTCAGAGGTCAACAAATTTTCAACCGAAATTTCTGTTTTTGTTACTTGTTAAAGAAGTTATTTCAATTTACAGTTATTGATATTACTCAGAAATAGAAAAAATGACACGTCTATTTAAAGGAAAATAAATCTAAGCAATAATAAGTCAAATCTTCATTAAAGCGTATTCTCATTCTCATTATCGCTATAATGTCCCCGCCATTATCATTATTGATATCCCACTGAGCTGCTGGCCGTCAAATTCGAAGTTGTATTGTTGTCTTAACAAGACTTTCATTTTGTCCGCTTATGGGGCTACTGCTCTGAAGGTCAGCCGGAGCTTAATTTCCTGCCCACCGCTTGGTATTGGGGAACGTCTTGGCTTTGCATCTTCAACTGCTCCAGTAATCAATCCACTGTGGACCATGAAATAGTGGCACAGTTTACTCACTTCTAGCGGGATGTGGCCACAAGTTACTTTAACGGGAAAAACTCCCTCTTTCTTTAGTCTACACACTGCACACGAGAAGCGATCAATCTTTAGAGACATTATTATTATAATATATATTATATATTATTATTATTTTCGTTTTCTTCTATAACATGATTCTTCGGAATTTCGCTGGATTGTACAACTTTCGTCTTGGTAGATTCCAAACACAAGGAAATTTTCCTTCTGGTTGGTAATATACTCAATGATGGGAGTATAGTGTATTGGCTATGCCCCGCTTGCTAGTTTAGCTCTTTCTAGTCCCCTGCTACACGGCATGTAAACAGGGATTGGCTAGTTAGAGGCGGTCCGTGTAGGCCTTACACTGTGCTTTCAGCAATACTCATATAAATTGTTTTCTTCTCTACGATTCACTGATTCATGGGCAAGAGAAGTGAGAATCATGGTCCACCCTGAAATCTGATTTCTATAACCAAATTGTGATTTTTATAACGAAATTATGGTAGCAACCGCCAATAAAGTTACAGCCCTCCATCCACTGCTTCAAAAGTCTTCTCTAGCACATATGAGACTTCAGGTAAACTATGATGATCACCACCCCCTAGCCTTGGAACCCCATAATCTGAGTCGGCGGGTTTTTTTATGACTAGTAAAATTTTTGACCGGGAAAAATATGGCGGAAACTTCCAAAACCCACCACTTTATCCCGGTTATAATATTCCCGAGTAAGGTATACAAAAAATTTGTTTCACATTTAAGTTCTCTACAATGACAAATTTGCCTCTAACATTAAACAGTGAGGACCTCCAAGTTGCAAAGATAATTTTAAATGAATAAGCTTTACAAAGTTTGTGATAATTTGTGACAAAATTCCCACACTGTTACATTTGTCCCCAATGGGATCAACTTTGCGATTCCAGTTAGTATTGTGTTTCATCGCTAACATTAAAACATAGTGCAGTGTAGGGATTTTATTGCTGCAAACTTAGTTGAAATGTTATATATTAACCAACACTTCATGGGTGAACATCTTTATAAATACTTAGTTTTGTATACACATCCTAAAAGGATGATTGATTTCAATGTAACACATGCCATATTTCAACTAGGCAGAAATTCTACATGGCATTATATGATCAATCAGAATAAATAAGGATGTGATAACATGATACTATTGTACAGTATTGTAATGACCTATGGTGAGTTCTATTAATTTGGATTCAAATTAATTTCTTGATCTTAAACAAATAATTAGCCTTGAGTCGAATTAAATCAATCTATTGTCTTATATCAAAGAATCGGTCTTGCATCACAATCATGAATCAATAAGAAAAAGTTCAACAAATTAATATTCCAGTGCTAACACTCACATGTATTTCAGGCTCATAGTTTTACTGGATCTCTAGTGCCATGCTCAAACATGTGGCCTACAAGGGCGAAGAAGTTGTTAACTGTTCACATCCAGACTCTTGATGTGGACATGGAGTTTAGTGTCCCGGTGAGTGGTGTATTTAATAAGTATAATATGTTAGTGATGTTTCTAATTTTTCTAATTTTTCTAATTTTTCTAATTTTTCTGCTCTGTCAGTTATATTATATCTGTATCTGTAAATGATGTTTCTAATTTATTGTAGTTTGTCGTAAATCATATCATTATATATAGTACCCATGCTCTTACTTCTTGTCTCACATCGAAAAAAAGCGTAATAGTGATGTTTAGCCATGTTGAAAAAGGATATTGATTATGTCGAGATTTTCTGTTCGTTGGTTCGTCACAGCACCGTCACATTTAGCATGTTGTTAAAACATTTGCTAAATTTTTAAAAGAATTACATGTCCTAGCGATCCGAAAACATACAAACGGTTCTTAATATTGTGATTGCGATAATATTGCATTCTTCACCAAGGAAGAAGTTGTGAAGCAGTTTCGATGTTGATCTTATTAGCGTCCTAAAATACCTCTCAGCGTGTTCCTAGATGGTCTAGATTTACTTATATTTTGGTATGACCTAGTCGTTTGGAACGTTGACACAAGATCACATACAGATTGAAATGCTAATTAATTATGGGTCGCCTCTAACCCTCTACATATTTAACATCAGTATATTATGTGATATTGGTTGCGATCTGACACGCTCATAATTATCATGAGATCACGTCATACTAATCTGAACATTCTACTTTTGTATGTAGTTCGGTTGAAACAAATACAAATGCACGAAATTGTACTGGATAATTAGAGGGCTTTCTACGACAGTAAAGCTTTAGTTTAGTAAGGAAACATTGCGTTGGTCCTAAAGGTTTCAATTTTAGTTAAAACTGGACACAATCAAATCCACCGTGTATAAGTTAATCATGTTTCATTTAAAACATTTTATGTGCCATTTTTCTACAGACTTTAACTATCCTCCCATCTCAGTACAAAGCTACGGGAAAAGAAGTGTTTGACAAGGTGACCAACACGATGGGTCTACGAGAGACCTGGTACTTTGGTCTGCAGTCCACCAAGACAACTGCTGGACAAATGTGGATTATTGACGAGAAACGTATCGTGGACCAAGTGTATATTAGTGATGATAACAAACCTGTTCAGCTGAACTTACTCGTCAAGTTCTACCCACAGGTACTGATATTATATAGGTACTACTATAGGTGCTACTATAGGTAGCCATGTTAAATTTTACGAAAAAATTTCATTATTTTCGCTTATACCCGTGGCCGTAAACCTGCAGTTCTGTTAGTACTAGCAGTGCTATTAATCCAATACCACACACACACACACACCTGAACTTCCATACTTTTTGCATTGTCCAGTCTAAAATTCTGCAGGTGTATTTAATATTGCATGTCATTGCACTCGTTAGTTCCATTTTCATCAAATTATCTAGATTTACTGCTAGATAATTTCCCTTATACACTGTAAAGTATTACAGCACGTGATGTAACATTTCCACACCCAGGACGTGAACGATCTGATCCAGGATATAACAAAGCACTTGTTCTATCTACAAGTAAAAGATCAGATCTTGTCCCGGATTATATTCGCTCCTGCTGAAGTGTGCGTCATGTTGGCCTCCTACACTCTGCAAGCTAAGGTTTTTTAATTTGATTTTTTAAAGTTTGACGTTTTTATTTGATTGGATTTATCACGACATTGTTCGTGTGCGGTGATGCCTTGTATCTAAAATGCATGACGAAGCATGTTGCAGTTGCATTATCAGCACTGTGCCATATAACATAATATATAACATATAACATAACCATGTCACATATAACATAACCATTGGGAGTACTGCACTCATCTGACAAAATCATAACTTATAACATTTTCTTACATTTCCGTAGTACGGTGACTACGACCCACAAAAACACAAAGTGGGTCAGCTAGGCAACGAGCAGCTCATCCCGGAACAAGTCATGAACCAGTACCAGTTAACTAAAGAGGGCTGGGAACAGAACGTTATAAACTGGTACGCTCAACATTCCTGCCGCTCCACTGTTGACAGGTTACATCCATTTAACAAAATAAAGGGGTGGGTCAGAGGGATGTCTCGACTATTTGATAGAACATAGCTGAGTTTTGGGGAGTTTCCCACCATTAACTTATATTATGGTTCAGAACCTTATAAGGTTCTAATTTGATGGTGGCAGTAGAACACGGATAGACAAACTCTTTAGTGATTGTCAAGTGAATTGGACCGTATTCCAATCATTTCATGCAGTTGTGTTATGCTGCGGTGCGAAATAAGACTGCATGAATTTTATAGGACAGTCTCTTCAATTCTCGAGTTGACATTAATTAAGACTTAAATTTGAAATATTCATGTTTGCTTATACATCAAGCAGATGACTTTCAAAACTTCTTAAACGCTTTTTATTTGAACCTCACAAACCTCTCTCCCCACGCAGAGATAGAGAATGGGCGGAGATGCAGTATCTCATGATAGCAGAGAGTTTGAAGATGTTTGGTGTCAATTACTTCCTCATACAGGTTTGAAAAAGATATAATATACATCATACAAGTAACCTTTGACGTTATTTTTGACGTTTTATTACTAGATGGTAGACCACCCAGGACGATTAACTTGCAATGAATTTTAAGTCACTATGTTAGAATCAGTGATATGAGTGGTTGATCACTTGTGGGAGGGAGACATTTGTAATTAATAAGAGAAAGATTTTATGCGGAAACTATCGATAAATACAGGGTGGCCCAAAAGTTACTACCCACACGCAACCCTTTAATAACTCACGTAATTCGTGTCAGAATTTCACAAAAATTTCAGAGAATATAGATATGGGTCAAACTTAGAATTCCTGAAAGTTTCCCAAAATTTCATTGATTACAGAGGGTGTGGCACGCCACTCCCTCTTTTTTAAACTATTGTCGCCATAAAGCGAGAACGCTTTGAGCTAGGAACTCCAAAGTTTATAGACACATTTAGTTTGATAATTCAAGGGATTTCCCAAAATTTGGTGAGTAGTTACTTTTGGGCCACCGTCGTTATCCAAGAAAACAAACCTGTTTCTAAACTTGATACTATTCTAACGGCATTATAGATAAACTATGTTTGTACTACCTTTTAAATTGTAAAATAAATTTATGATAATCCAAACTTTGATTCTTTTTAACGGATGAATAGAATCCTGCATCCCAGAACAAGCGTGGAACAGATCTCTGGCTTGGTGTTGACGCTTGTGGACTGCACATCACAGAGATGGATAGTCAACAAAAACCCAAGATAGCTTTCCCTTGGAGCGAAGTTAAAAACATATCTTTCCAAGACAAAAAGGTTTTTAATTTACTATCTCTATTCCAAATGTTTTGAATTTGATACCTCTAACAGGCTACACACTAGTTAATGCCACTACTGTCTGCAATAACTGCATGCTGCTAACGACTTAACCACAAATGGCCAGATTAGTTGACACTTACATTTTCAGAATATGTGTTATGTAACTGAGATTTGAATAGGTTGTGTGGTCTAACTGTCCCGTTTCAGTTTACAATCAAGCCAGTTAACGAGAAGACAGAAGATTTCAAGTTCTTCACTAAGAACATCAGAACTAATCGAATGGTAATTTTAATATCATAATATTATTATGACATCACAAAATTGTAGCACTTTAATGTAAAGAAATTGAGAATGAGAGCCAGTAACCATTGAGCAGAGTTATTGAAACCTATCACACATTCTAGTAAATAACATGATCATGTAGGTTATCAAGAATTCATGAAATGTGTCTTGATTAATATGACATCATTTGACATACTCCAACTATCAGTACCATTTCGATTATGTCACGATTACATTAAGATACTGTTAACGCTCGTACATCACACACACCTGTCAAGAACACATATACACACCGTACACTGTACAGATAGTTGCATGCTGTATTCTATAAATCATTACTGGTGTACACTGTCATATCAGCAGATGGAAAGTTTCTGTCAATAAAGATGATCTAACCATCTACTCTAATTTTCCAAACCTCAATAGTTGAAATAATCACGCACCAGCTGCTTGTAGTTGGGGTGTGGCGCGCGTGGTATTTGTTAATACAGCAGCTGTACCGCTGGTGTTCCACTGTTACTCTGGTAATCGCGTACCATTATATAGCTGACACTCGCACTGTCTTGATTAAAGGGTGGGGAATTGGGGGTTGGGTTGATAGTTTTAACATTATAATATAATAATTTGTCTGATCCCCACAGTATCAAACTACAGTAGAACCCCAAAAATTCCGATATATACCACAAAACACTCACATAATAATATTATGTCATCGAAATTTTTCTTCAGAAATCATCAAAACTTTACTGTTAACAATTTTCAGTTTACAGTGAGTAGCAAATGCAATAAACACCCCTCTCTCTTTACAGATCCTGCAGATGTGTGTAGGTAACCACGAGTTATATACACGGCGTCATAAAGGAGACACGCTGGTCGTCCAGGCGCTCAAGCAACAAGCCAAGGTAGGGGTCATTCTGTAGAATCCTAGAAAGAAGTAATCTTGTTAACTCTACTAAGAAGTAATCGATTTAATGGTTAAACAGTGGGTGAATGCTCGAGTTCCTGACTTTATTCGGTTATCGCTGATCAAATTTATCTCACGATTAACTCTGAGATTTTTCTCGAAGGGAACTTCACCATGCCATCAAGGCGTTGGTTGCATTTTAAGCAGATCTTTATAAATGACAGCTCAACTCTGATTCCATTTCTTGTAAACCACGACAATTTAATCTCAGTGAAAATAATACACCAGCCAGCCAGAGAACAAATTACATGAAAATTTAAAACCAGTTTTAATGTGCCAGTATTACGCTGTCATCCTCAATATTGACTGTTGAAACTCGCTAATCGCCTCCACATCGTATATAAGCTAAAGACAGTCTTGTGCAACACACTCACAACCGCTCTGGAATAGTACAGTAAAGAGCGGTGTTTGCTGGTGGGGTGATCTCATGTAGACACCCAGATTTAAAATATCAGTGTAAATATAACCCACTGGTCATAGAGCTTGTAATGAGATGAGTGTAGGAGGTCGAGAATCCGTATGAACTACAACAGGGCAGCCATACAGCCGTGTTTTGTACACGTAATAGTACTCACAGCAGATCACACAAGTGATACCTCACACACACACACACACGTGATACCTCACACAAGTGATACCTCACACACAGTGATACCTCACACACGCACTCACACGTGATACCTCACACACACACACACTCACACACATGTGATACCTCACACACGTGATACCTCACACACGTGATACCTCACACACACACTCACACGTGATACCTCACACTCACACACGTGATACCTCACACACACACTCACACGTGATACCTCACACACACACACGTGATACCTCACACACACACTCACACGTGATACCTCACACTCACACACGTGATACCTCACACACACACTCACACGTGATACCTCACACTCACACACGTGATACCTCACACACACACTCACACGTGATACCTCACACACACACACTCACACACATGTGATACCTCACACACGTGATACCTCACACACGTGATACCTCACACACACACTCACACGTGATACCTCACACTCACACACGTGATACCTCACACACACACTCACACGTGATACCTCACACTCACACACGTGATACCTCACACACACACTCACACGTGATACCTCACACACACACACACTCACACACATGTGATACCTCACACACGTGATACCTCACACACGTGATACCTCACACACACACACACACACACACACACGTGATACCTCACACACGCCGTTCAGGAGGAGAAGAAAAGGAAGCAGGTTGAACGAGAGAAGCTGGAGAAGGAGAGGAGGATGAAGGAGGAAGCGATGCGCCAGCGAGAGGAGCTGGAATTTAGATTGAGAAAGTTTGAAGCTTCCGCTAGGAAAGCAAACGATAAACTGGTTAGTGGTTTATTTCGATTAAACACTTATCATGCAGCTCGGGTTTTAAGGATTGCGGATATAGTTTTAGGAATTGTGGATATTGTCAAACTGTCTTCTTTTCCTTGCTCATCGCTGTGTTTATAACTAATTTAATAAAAAATTTCGAAGCCACATCTCTTGATTTTTCAAAATAAGTCAATTTTAAACAATTCCTGCAGCAAAGAAGCGAAGAAGCAGCTGAGATTCTTGAAGAGAAGGTAAAATTGGCAGAGGAAGAAGCTAATCTGTTAGCTAAACGAGCTACAGAAGCACAGCAGGAGATACTGAGAATCAGACAGGAAAATAATAAGGTTGGGAAAATACGCACATCCTCGATATTTATCAATACAAATCTTACATCTGATTCATAAAAACCTTAAAATTTATCAATCTTAAGAAATTGTAAAGCTTACAAATTACATAATTAAGGAGGTGGTGCTCAAAGACCATGTCTATTTTAGTTCACGACACGATTTTACTCTGCCAAATTTAATAGTTATATTGTATATTTTTAGAATAACGAAGAGAATCTCATGCTGAAAGAGAAATTGCAGCATGTCGAAGAGAATGCTCACCAAGCTGCCTCTAAAGCTGAAGTCGGGTGAGTTTTGTCACAAAAACAATTTTATTTCATTTTTCAAGACAATTTGTATTTAAAGACAATGTTAAAATCTGAGTAAACTTCCGGCTATCTAGCGTTATATATCGCTAGATAGGGCTGTTTTTGTTACCTTGCAAATTAACGTTTGAGCTTTACACTTTACAGTCCAGAAGACAATGATGCTGGAATGAATGTGATGTGAGAGTAGCCACTTTAAATTATGATCCGTCAAAAAATTCAAGCTCCCTCCCCCTTAAAATTTTCTTCTGGGCTTTTCTATTTCTACGGTTAAACATTCAATTAAAAACTTTTCTCACAATCTGAACAACGTTTTATTCATTTTTTCGCACTTAATTATCACATATATTAGCATGTGCGGCAGCGCCTCATTGTGTAATGAAGAGCACAACTATATGGTGTTAACAACTCAGCCACACTTTTATTAAAACTATTGTGTGTAAATGTTCAATGTTTTGTCGGGTTGTACGTTTAAAATATATCGTGAGAAAAGTAAGTGCATGTATTAAAAACGCCCTTAAATGTTAATTCCCAGCTCTAACGGTATTTGATTTTGGAGAAATATAAAATGTAATTTGGATTGTAAGACGTGTTAAGGGTTAATTGTATCTTTAAGATGTTTGGAAATGATTCCTAAATTTCATTCCTTGTTCAGGGCAACGGAGGCGTATCGTTTAAAACAAGAGTTGGACAATGCCAGAGAAAGAGAGAAAGATGCTAGGGGTAGGCTCATGGAGATCACTCAACAAAGTGTTTTACATGATAAGGTATTCTGCTTTAGTTTATATTGCATAAAAATGCTACTTTTTCTTTGCTTTTTTCAAACTTTGCTTAAATCTGTTCGTTGTCTCACAGACCTCTAAAATTTCAGGCTGATATACTGTCGTATATCAACAAGGAAGAATCTTTATCTACTGTGAAGAAAAAAGAAGAACTCGTCCAGCAACTTGAAAGCTCACGGTTAGTCTATTCAATTTCCTAGTAACGATTTTAATCTCTGTTCCTAGATATATCCTCCGACATTTGACAACTGTGTCACAACTGTGTCACATAAGTGTCACATAAGTGCGAATCTTATGCCACCCTTTTATTTGTGCGCCCTTTCATAATTTGTCTTACGCGAAAGAGCTTACTGATCGCATTATATACCTTCCTTTTTGCAATCAGACAATTTTTTCCTTTTCACCCTTTTGAAAAAAGGCAATAGTGAAAGGTTACGAATGGAGGTTTTTGCAGAAAAACGTGGATTTTGGAGAACGAGATAGGTGGGTTTGAATATGTCGTGTGTCCTTCCTTCCTTACGTCCGTTACCATGCAACGAAAAAGTTGCGCGCGCGCGAGGATTGCTTGCGGAGATGTGATGTATAGATAGCCTGTGATCTACGAATGCGCGGCGCGACTGTGTTTTAATGTATATGATGCATGTAATGTATAATATTACTATTAGGTAATACGCCCAATTTGTACGTGGCACGCGTAGTGTATTGATGTGTACACGAGTATAGTTTACCTTTGCTGATAATTTCTTGAATTACAGATACAAGTTAAGTTCTACGGCAATTGAACTGAATTTCAAGTGTTTCCCGTATTTCAATTTGATGCATAATTTATCAATATTAATATCATGAAGATTGAAGTGAGCTGATTGGAGCTTATACTTAAATTTATAGTAAATGTGAAATGGAAATCTAGCGTCCGCCAAAACGAAACAACAGGCGCAATTCTTGTTCTATCTGGATATTTTCCAATATTAGAACACGACGAGCGAACGTGAGGTTAGTAAACACGCGCCAGCATGTGAACGCAGTGAAACAATAGCTGAAACTATGCTGGGGGCTCCCCAGGCAGCATTAATACCGGATCCCACTATACAGCCTGACATTTTCTTTATGGATACTAGTGATGGATACTCAGATTTGACAACCATATTGTTTTGACACGAGACAGCCAATAAGCAACCAACTTCCTGCGCCGAAAAAACTGGCTAAGAAACAAACAGCTAATAATATGATAAGAGTAAGAGTTCAGAGTGTTAAAACTTTAAAAGATGTAAAATAGATCTAGGGTCTCTCAATAAGATGAATCAAAGTTTTCATCTCATCACTCTAATTAAAGTACCTATTATAAAATGTTGTTGTTTTATCATCGAATGATCCTTTTCATTGATATTTCCTTCAATCTTCACAGATAAATTCACAGATTTGCTGTTTCAGCTAGTACATGATTTGAAAGTTCTCGATCCTCCTGTTCCGATTGTATGACATCTAGCTCGTTGTTCACACTCTTTACACCACCCATTCTCGTCCGAATAAGTTCCGTAACCATGGAGACACGTAGTCTGATAATTAATTTAATTTCCACCAACTTTCTTCCGAGGAACTCTGTTAGTGTCTTGTCGTAGATCAGTGGATTTATAACAGAGTTAAGGGGGAGAACTATCATGGCAAAAGAAACGTACCAATTAGTCGCATCAATTAAATACATATTATGCATACCACTTATGATAGTAAAGGGAACCCAACATAAGAAGTCAGTAGCAACTATGATAGTAATTTTGTTCTGTATAGCCCTGTTTACCCTTACTCTAGCGGGGTTTTGATCCTGTCCTGATCTCCGTGAAGATATTCTGGTTTGGATATTGATGACTATGTAACAACAAGTGATGATAATGAAGCAGACCAAGTTCATGGCAAGCATCAGCCAAACTACAAGATCTCCTTTATGATCGCTGATGTTAACTCCACTTCCTACTGATTGCCTGATTCTTCTTGCATCGTTACTCCGAACAAAGTACTTGAATAAGCAGACACCGTCATTTCCATAAAAATGAACTGGACGTCTACTAAAAAGTCCATATTGCTGAGTGAACATACCGTCCACTTTGTCACCGATTTCTTTCCAGGTTATATCCATAGTGATGTTTGTGGTATTGTATTGAGCTTGAAGAACTTCAACATGTTTCTCTTTGTTGGGGAAGCCGACAAAAAATTTGTAGATGGGATCATAAAACATTCCTTGTACAAAGTATTCCTCCAATGAAGATATCAAAGGTATAAAAGCTATAGCAAGGGATGCGGTGATGATTCCCGTTGCTAGGAAAGCGAGCTTGACAACAGAGCTTCTGTTTGCAGGGCCTGGAATACTCTTTTGCTTAAAAGTTAAAAGTAAGCCAGAACATTCGGATGACACTCAAGGCTGTCATTGCGAAAAGGGAGACTTGTGATCCAACTGTGCTGATGACCCCTAATATGGAGCATGTTGTTCCGGTTAACCATTCGGCTTGATGTCTGCAGAACCCAGTTCCATATATAAAACTATCATAGAAGGACACAAGAACTAAATATAGTCCGATAACCAGATCCCCTGACCCGATTAGACTGATCAAGGCCTTGTTAGCTAAAATACGTTCATTCCCACTATGCTTTATAGTTTTTATTCCACTGAATACGGTGTACGAGTTTAATATCAATGCTAGCACCCCCATTATCCAAGATGATATCTGCAGTGTTAAGTTTTCAAGTATCCTTTTCCCACAAATGTCATTGCATTCATCTGAGAGGTCAAAGCAATCGTATATGCCGTCACATCTCTGCGATAAGGAAATAAACTGATGTTTATTTGACTTTAAAGTGTTTTCACAAATCATGTGATTTGCACAGTTTAACTCGTCACTCATGTCCCCACAGTCATCTATGAGATCACATACTTGCTTGTATTCCACACATCTACTGTTATTGCATTGAAAATAGTTCTGGTGATATTGGCCTTTCTTTGACTTTTCAACAAACGTCAGAAAAGAGTTGTTAGCAAGTGTATATACACGGTCAGGATATTGTTCAGGACATGAATCGTACAACAATGTTCTATTTTTATGTAGAGGACACGAGGCATCTAGACATAGATCCATGCAACTGAGAAACAGGTAATATTCACCAAACAAATAGCTGCAATTAACCTTAGAGGTCGGAACAATTAACTTTAACTTTTTTATTCCGAATACATCTGCAATCCAGGGTCGTATGAACTCTTTTACTTCACAGTTAGAGTCACTGCATACATTTAGCAATTCTCCATGATGAAGAGCGGTCTTATTGATCTTTGGGAAATCCCTAGCGATCCTACAAACCTCATTCTCTGCACCGTCACCACACGTCTCCAATCCGTCACAAAGTTGTTCGTATTGAACGTAATATGGTTTATCACCTTTCGAACACAAATATACGTTTTTGCAAGATTCATCACTTTGTTTAAAACGATAGCTGTTGTCAGTTCTGTTGCCGCAGAAACTCTGGTTCACAATATGTTCATCTAACCCGTCCATACAATCCACCACATTGTCCATTATCCAAGAAACTGGTATTCCGAACTTCATACTTTTAAAGTTAAACCTACGGACACATTGAAATTCCTTCGTCATGTATTCACACATGTCATTAAGTTCGTCACTTCCATCAGGACAATCCCACACTCCGTCACACATCCTGTGTTTGTGTACTCTACAATCAATGGAAGTAGACGGTGATAAACAGTTGTTTTGAACGTCATCGTCACATAACTTAACTGGTAAACTAGTCTTCTTATCATGTTCATAACACAACATGTACTTAGAAACATTCGAGTTATACCCATTAATAGAACAATACCCCCTACTCGCTCTATATCAGAACAGTTAGTCTGGTCTAAATAGTTCAGACAGTATGGATATATTATTCTCTTATAAGGATATATACTCGTTATATCAAATGCAGAGCATCTAGTATAGTTGAATATTGGTACTGTTATAGTCTTTTTATACGACACTTTACTGTAGTAATGTGTACAAGAGTGTGGGGTACTTTCTGTAACTTTACAGTCCTGTTCATCCTCTCTTTCATCACACATGCTGTATACGTTACATATCCATTTTACAGGAATATACGTGTCCTTCCCCGAATACGTACAGTTAATTCCGTATTTATACCCGTTACAATCACTTTCGTCCATACAAATAGTGTCGTCACCGGAGTCGTCACATTCATCATTACATATCTCTGTAGTTGAGTACTCTCTAATAGTTGTAGCGGTATAAGCAGCAGTAGTAACATAACTATTTGCAGTGACCTCTGGTGGGTCAGGCGTTTTATTGATTTGTGATACAGGACAATTCTTATCTACACTGCAGTTCTTATCACATCTGATGTATTTTTTATCGCAAAACAAGCCTCCACACAGCACATCCGTGTTCGTTATTTGTGTATTGAACCCACACGCCTGATACACGTGGGGATCGTTCTCACAAACTGCAGTAACGTCCTTGAAATGGCCCCTCAAAGTCAGGTTAAAGTACACATCAGAGTGGGTACACTTGAAGTAGTATTGTTTCCTTTTTTCATTAAAACATGCATTTTTAAGGAAGCCCCCTATTATCGTAACTGTACAATGTTTTCTTGAATTTCTCAATCCATCCACTACCCTGTAGTCAACACCGCCCGGATCAGAACAATACTCAGTTGTGTTGCCACACTTTCCATCCCACTTTCCATTTGCATCCCGCGTACTACAACACGGGTTCTCCCCATCAGGGTCACACTCAGCAGGACTGCCATCAGAGAGGGGATACCATTTACCACATGTTCTGTTAGAAAACCACTTTATCTTGAATTCACCTGATAGAGTAAAGTAACGTACTACTGAGTGTTGCATGAATAGTTAATAATGATAGCATCAATTCATGTATAATTCCGCTGTCCTGCATTTAATAAAGGCAATCAAATTGTACTCATAGAAGCACTAAACGTACGAACTTGCACGTTTAAAATTGTGCGCGGTTAGATTTATTAAATTTGTGCACGCCTTAGCTGTTTCCTACAAATGATGACATATTATTTTTAATATGTGTGTTCACAGGACTTGAGTTGTTTACAAGAGAAACTCGCTGGGTTTGAAATAGAAACAGTCTAACAATTATTAGGTATATTTTA